CGAACTGTTAAGTGGTGATGGCATTGATTCAGGCATAATCCAAGCTGATAAAGAATCATTAAATCCTGCTCGAGCCCAGTTAGGACGATCATTTCGACTATCGTATAGTTCACCATTATAAATACTATCGTGTTTAATTGAACCTTCTCGACCAGTCCATGTCTGATCACTAAGAACTTGTATTTCATTACCATCCTCAAATATCATAGACAAGATAAAAATAAGACGAGGTGGGCCTAAAATATTCTCAAAGTAAAATTCTGGTTGAAATAAGATAAATTCTCATATACCATAGCCAGATTTGCCATGCTGTTCTGGACTATACCAACCATTGCCCAATTTGACACCTACAGCATTCATGCCAGCCTAAACAGGAATTCATAGACGAACTTTTAAAAGAAAAAAAACAAATTCTAACTGTGATATTCGCTGTTAAATCAAATGAAGCAAGCAGAGTACGTTTTTCGTAGGATGTCCAACCAGGATCCAGTTTTCGACTTGTATCCACTTTATTGCCATTTAGATAAAATTCATAATAGCCAATACCAGAAATATAAGCAATTGCTGATTTGATAGGACTAGCATTTGGAACCATGAATTCTTTTCTTAATTCATTCATATTGATCTTTGTCGATCCAATCCAAAGAAGAGCATTGTTTGCTGTTAGATATTCATGTAAATTGAATATAGGCGTTCGAAATTGAATCCAATCCGTCCATTCACTTGGTTCTTCTGAGTTTGTTGTCCAAACTCGCACACGAAAACGATAAAATGTTGATGATAAAAGATCGTTTTGACCTGTATATGGTACATGAATTGATTGTGATGACACAACACGTTCACTATCCCATGCAAATTGATTATCTCGTTGAGTTATTTTTATCGATTGAATTTGCATTTGATAAGCTGTTTGTTGAACATTTCGTTGTGATACATTGTCCAAAACGCGAATTTTCCAAGAAAATCGAGGTCGTGGAGTATTGATAACTAAATCCTGAATGGTCTCAACTTTGTAATGATCTATACGCACATCGAATAGAGATAGACGGCGACCATCGACTGTCGACCAAAGTACAAATACGAGCAAAATGCTGCAGTACCGTAGGCAAAGCATAGCTTTAGACTCTTTGATCCTATTTTATCATATTATAGTTGAAACAAAAATGAGACAAAAATGAATGAGTTACAAAGCAATTGAAAAAGATTTTCTTTTCATATTTAACTTGTTAAGGAGTAATAACTTCAATATAAATGTGAGAGTAATAGCAGCTGTTTTTAAATTCATTCTCGTTTGATTTTTACAGATAAAAAGGTAAATCAAGTACAATGTGATTCATCGGTGCCCGTAAGGCGAGTAACTGATATGCAATTGATCGACCATAGATCCGAACAAGTTGGCTCTAGAAGTGCATGAAAACATGTACATGAAGGAATTTACTAGCACTTTAGATCTATGAATGGGTGATCTAAATAACTTGCTTTGCACAAATATTATGGTTAGAATTAAATAAAATGAATTGATCTTCATTATGTCTTAGGGATTTGATTGGTTTGTAAGATGCATAGTTAGAATTTCAACGGTTCTGCTCGTGTTTTGCGAATTCTGAGACCATTTTAACTTCCAAAAATTCCAAAATCAGTTTTATATCTCAGTTTTACACAAGGAATAAGAAAAAAAATATTTTAGGAATTTAAACAAAAAAGCAATAAACATGAAACGTTTTCTCATTTTTGAAAATTTCAAAGATTTTTACCTTTTTTCAAAAAACCAGTCTTTTTAGATTTTTCATCCAAAACTTACTTGCAAAAATTCTGCGATACACGTCTTTTCTAGTTAACCCGATGAGCTCTATCCAACCATGCCAGAACAAGATCAAAACAAAATTTTGCTCGAATTTCGCATTGCCGACACATTATAGTTAATCATCTTGCTTGCAAAAAATTTGTATTCTGATTGTGAAATACTTTTTCTGATTTTCATCTTTTCAAAATCTGGGATCCTTGGACAAAATGCTGATACTGCTTGTTGCAAAATCAAAAGAAAGATTGTTTTTTAGAAAGCCACTCGAAAACTCAGTTGGGAAGATGTATTGTCTGATTATTTTTAAAGAACTGTTGATTTGCAAGTAAATACATAAATTATTGAACAATCCATAAATGACGTTATTAATTATTAGTCTATATCCTAGTGTACTTTTTTCTGAAATATCTTAAATGTGATCATTGTCGATTCAAGTAGATTAGAATCACGTTTCTATAATTAGTTTTGATTAAAACAGTCATATTTTTAAAAATAGGTCTAGCAATTAACTTAGCTCCAGATAACCCAGAAAATTGCTTAGTTTGATAACAAGCTCAAATTTCTGGCTAAATCCCTTCGTAATTTTGCTTCATACTATTCCTACCATCGCAAATTTTGGTAAGAGAATTTTTAAAGAGATTAGTCTTAGTCTTGAAAGCTCGGTATTTGATTATTAATGACCTGTATGTCAAGTTTTTGTGTTCGAACTGCTGATGTTTAGACAGAAAACCGATGACCATGCACATCTTGTCAATGTTCTCATTGACTCTGATGTTATTAATCATTGTCGTGAAAGTAAGACTGATGGCAGTCGATTTCTTATAGATAGTAGTGATGACATCCAAAAAAGATCTGGAAGTAGTAATGGCGCATAACAGCGTCAAACATGTTAAGCTTATTAACGAGTAAGAATTTTAGAACTGTGGAAATGATAACAGTGGAAATTTAGTGGAAATGATAATAGCAGCTATTTCTAAGTTCATTAAGTTACTTAAATTTTATTGAAAAATTTGATGTTTCGAAAATACAATTTTCATTTTCAAGAAAAATAAATAGATAAAGAGACTATACTGTAACGTTGGAATCAAAATTTCAAATTCTACAAATATCTACATGTATTTATCTATGAAAATCTAAAAGTGAAGGGATAAAGGAAAAGACATGTCTAAATATTTGTGAAAGCAGGGAACTTTTAACACTGAACCAGACGAGAATCGAAGTCATTCGATGGATAGAGGAAAAAATTATTATAATAATGGAGAAAAATATAGTCTCTCTCTAATATGAATACAATTCAAACCCCCTGGATTTGAGACTAGAGTTTTTGTATCGCCATTTGGAAAGATGCAAAGTGGTACTGAACGTACCGTATTGTTAAGTTTAGATTAATGACTCAAAATGACGAGAGATTCTTTGATCAGAAAACAATATGCATTTTCGTCATTCCAAGAATTCTAGAACCGTCCTTACTTTTTGTATGATTTGCGTCTTGAATGTACCCAAACAGAGGCGATTTATTTTACTTAGTAGTAGAATTAGAAATATTATTTTCAGATAGTGCAGAACAGATTTTAGATTTTTCCGCTATACGAGCAGAACGTCTTAAATTTGTCTGATCAGGACAAGGTGTAACCTTCTTTGTTAATCCGCTCTTGTTTTTATTCGTCCTGAAACATCTTATGTAGAAAATTATTTGTCGTACTGTTTTCCCAGCATACGTACTGACACAATCATCACATTGTAATCCATAGACTACGCCACACCGTAGTAATTTTGGAATTGTGCCTTTGTTTTAACCAAGCTTACCAGTTTAGGCGACCTAAGCACAACAGTCAAATCAAGTTGGGATTTGACGGTTTTAGTTAATTTTTTTAAATTATTTGAAAGAATTTTTGAAAAATTTTAAACATATGGCCGGTAGAGTATAGGTCGATTAGAGTTGTTGCTGTTGTCATGTAAAAAGATGATTCATCAGTTGATGAGTATACCATCGGTATTTTTGTTTATACAATTATGAAAACTAATAGTTTTAATTTTTAAAGCAAAAATAACAGTTTACCACAAAATTGAAAAGAAATAACAATGATAAATAAGCTTTTTACTACATGTTCTTTATCCTCAACTCTATTTTAATGTATTTCAACATAAGTTTTTTTAAATATTTATGTACAAATAAAGCGATTTGTAAACATATAAAACTAGGGGAACTTTTTGTAATCTGTCTCAAATTGTACGATGTTGAGTGTAGCTATTCTTATTCTCATATTAACAATCCTTAAATACAGACATTTTATTATGAAAACAGAACTGGTGAATCATTTGCAATAGAAAAAAGAATTAAGAAACTCCAATGTGCAAGTTAATTGATCGGCGTTTCAAAATCAAAACACATCGAGAAATGAATTGTAATACAAGAATTTCCATTTCATCTTTCAAAATCGTTGCTGGGAAGAATGGGACGCTACTTTTTGACTCCGTCGTCGTGACATCAGGAATATTTCTATTTAGGTCAAATGTCATCTGGCGTCTTTTCGCATACAGCCAATGTATCAATAGTGTCATAGTGGCTCCAAGTCTTTATTATCTGCATGATGATTGAGACGGTTCTTTTCGATTGATCATTGAGTCACTTCTGTTATATGGTCATTGAGCCGCTTCTTTTCGACTCCTTCGTCGTGACATCAGGAAGATTTTTATTCAAGTCAAATATCATCTGGCGTCTTAAACCACCTCGAAACTTTGTCACTGGATGTAACGTTTCAAGAGCTATCGTTTTCTGTCCTTAAAAGTGCAAAGTAAACGGTGGGTCATGGTAAAAAAAGAAGGCTTTCTGGAAAATCAAGTTTTCAGAAACTCTATAACATAATCTAAACCTTTTTTAACCAGGCATAATTGTAGCCCGCAAATTTCTGATTAAATTGAGACACCTCCCAGCTCTACATGACCTTTTTTTTGCAAAGTTATAGAATTTACAAGAAAAATCCTGAGTGTCTCTTGTCAGCTCACAAGCTACAGAAGGAGAAATTAATTAATTTAGGGTTTTTGAAAAATGATAAAAATAAAAACGTTTTCGAAAGTCCTGAGGGGGACCACAGACCTCAAAAATCTGACCGAGAGCTGTCGCAAAACCAAGTGTGAGGAAATGTTCCTACGCATGCCCTGACACCATTCCAGTGCAAAAACGCCGAAACTCTTGATATTTTCTTGTGACTGGGTTGAATCTTGCATAAGATCGTCTTCAGAGAAATAGTTTTTTTAGTCAAAGCCATTTTATCATTTACAACCAAACGTTTGGACACACCAAACTGAAAGTTGTTATTTTATAGAGCCACGTTTACTCTATCGATTTGTGTTTAATTCAGTAGTTTATTTCGTCAGAGAATCGAATTAGTCTATGTACAATCATACATGTAGAAGTCAAAAGTCTAAAAGTAGTTTTACTTTGATAGCTTATCTTAGACTACTAGATTTCTTGGACTTTTAGACATTTAGATTTCTTACAATTTATTTCGGTAAAGAGGACAGAAAACGAAAAAAGTATGTGCGTGCTTGAGTGTCCTGTTGTTTAATACGT